GTTTTCATATAAAATGATTAGTTGTGAGTATCGTCATTAGCCGGTAAATCGTCCAGTATTGAGAAAATCAGACTATCGGAGATTGGGGTTTTTCCAAAATACTTTGATATTTCGACCGATGTATCATTTCATTTCAATATCAACTTTTGATTATCGATTTAAAATATCGAATTGGGTATCGGTTTTATATTTGTAGCAAATATCAGAATATGGGATATCGGAAAAAAGTCGTTTCGTCTCGCATCTAATTGAAAAAAAAATGTATGTTTAATCACGCACTGTCCTAATTTCAATCTCTCCCGTTTCAGTTTAGTATTCAATTAATTCGTGTTACCGATTGAGCGAAACAAACGCTTTATAAATAAGACACCTATTTCATCCGTGTAATTTTATTGTTCTTGAATGTAGGAACGCCCCAATAGTTATCAATCGATTTATTTAATGTTGTCGTATTTATATTTGCAAATGGATTTGCATTATTGAATTCGCGACGACGGAATAGATGCCTAGGTATAATCGCAGATTATTTGAAAAGCACACTGCTCTGAAATATGTTTTCGCTTTATCTATTATATCATCGTTCTCCGTTTCCAACATTAGCTCTGCCGATAATATCGGAGAAACGCGACCGGGTGTAAAAGAGATGTGCCTATACCGAATGAAAACGCAACCAAACACCTATCTATTTTCGACAATAAAAAATGTATTATTCGATTATCAATTGCCGTTCGATTTGCATACCTTCCCTATATTTTAAAAGATATCGTAAATGTATGATATTTAAGAGGGTGGTACGCGTGCATTTGTTGTTTTCGTCTTACAAACGCATAATATAATTAAAACGTGATTACATAGACTACACAGAATTCGTTTAATTTTGGTTTTAGAGTAAAAACGCCCATTATAAAATCAAAAGAAAACAATATTCCCGAGGGCAAGACGTTAAGGTTTTTTCATTTTTTCCGAATATAATAGTCAATTTACCGTTTATAAATATCGACTTTCTCAAAGTTTTTCTTTTTTAATTTGTGGAAACTTTAAAAAAAAAAAATAATAATAACTTTTTCGAAAAAACGCAACGTTTCCCTCCGGAATATTGTTTTATATTAATTTCATAGTAGGTGCCTTTTACTATAAGACCAAAAGTAAACGAGTTCTGTGTAGTCTGCGCGAGCATGATGGTTTTTTTTTTCTATTTCTCGTGTTTGTAAGACAGAAGCGACAAACGCGCGTGTAACGTCCTCTTAATCGGTTCGCCCGGCAACCGTAAATTCCGCGGCATCGTTCACGCCCGAGTCCAGCTGGCTGCAGTACGCATTCCCCGGCTCTGTTATCGGTTCGACGGTCGTCATCTTATCGCGCGATTCGACGGGCGACCATTTTAATAGTATACAATTATTTTCTCTAATCGTGGCTCGAATAATATAATATAGTAATACTATCTCGTTCGCGCGTACCCCTGCTTCGCGATTCAATAACGGAAACATTATTCAAATCTATATCCTTTACCAATATATAATCGCGGGACAATGCGCGCACGCAACCCATACTTCAAAGATATTCGATCTCGTATTATTAAACATCGTCTAGTTATTATTATTACGGCGTGTATACTTACCTAATACCTACGTTAATACGACTTTTATGCCGCACTCGCTTTCGATCGAAAAATATTATTATAATTATATTGTTGTACGCCCGTGCTGTATAATAATAATAATAATTATTTTCTGGTTGTTGTTTGGTTATGTAAAAAAAAAAAACAAAAACAGAAAACAATAATTATATCAGATTATAAAGTTATTATGATATTATTATAATATACTCTGTGCAGTTGTATAGAGGGCGCGCCGGGGAGAACCGATTTTTTTTTTCCTTGTTTAATTCGTTTTTAATGTAAGTATAACGCTGCCGATTTTAATTACTCCTGTATACCGCCGTCATAATGTGACGCAGGTTTCTCGTCGGTCGATCGTACACACACTGCATTAAATTATACTTATACCCGACTTTCTATAATATGTAATTTCGTTCTGATTCGCGGACGATAATATATTGTTAGACCTATTATATTATTATTGTTGTATTGACGGAACCGATTTGTGAAAAAAAAAAAAAAAAAAAACGGCAGCATCCGCCGCAGGCGCCGTTCGTTTTTCGTTTCCTGTTTGTATTTCGCGTTGTAAGTACACTAGTATAATAGTGTAAAAAGCTATTATTACTGCTGCGGATGGACGTGACACTGTTTCGGGAAGTATTAACGATATATACGTATATATTTATAGCGATTTAGTTTAAGCCTATGAGTTTAAACCCGTTTATTTGAAATGGCTGTTTGCTAACGAAAAGCGAATCCGAGCGAAATATTACAAGTTGTGATTTTACAAAAATTACACGAAAAATTGACGGTTCTTTTCCCATTTATTAAAAGAAACTTGTGAGAAAAATATTTGCTAACAGAAATCGGCCATAAAGTTGACAATTAGACCGAGATTTTCTGGTCGACAAATTGTTGTAACAAACATAAACAATAAAACAAAAAAAAAAAAAACTACGTTTCATCATAGTAAAACTGTATTACATTACCCAGCATAAAATAATAATGATAACGTTCACTTTTGCTGTTTTTACGCAGGTCGAGTTTCGAGGACGTGAAAAAGTTCCACAGTGAGGTAGAAGGCGCGGCAGTACGCCTGGAAGAACTTCTGTTACACAAGAAAAAAAAAATGATGCAGGCGGCCAGGGTGCACGCGCTTGAGACCGAAACTCACGAGGTATAAATCAAATGGTGCTTTTTTTTGGAGGGCGCTCGAATTTCCGTCTCCCCCCTCCCCGAAAAACTGGGAAAATTTCAGAGGGTTTGACTAAAACGTAAAACTATACAAATCCATTGCGAATAACAACAATTTTTTTAAGTTAACTGAATAAGACATGCTTATATTCGTAGAATTTGTAGAGTTCTTAATAGTATTATTATCCTTGTAAACAGCCGGTACTCTATTCCTGAAAATTACAGTCTCGGTATTTAATTTTGTTACTTTTCGTAATTTATTCTTGTCCCAGACATATTATTTCTAATCGTTTTTAATTCCCGCGTTATCTTCAATCATGATTCGATTCAATTAACATTCCTCGATATAGCAGTAAGTTTCTTTAAAATATTTTCATGACTTTATGATAACACTTCTACTGTATTATAACAAAATCGATATTCGGGTGAATACGTTTTCGAGACGAGAGAAAAATTGTCAAAAACCTTACACTAATTGACGACTGTAAGCGGATTGCTCCAGCAGTTGCACGTAAAACGTTTTTTTTCTTTACCGTAGACATGAAACATATGAAGTCCATAGCATTGCTGAGCTTAAAGATATTGTATACTGTATATTATAATAGTTTTACGGTTTTTTCGGTACAGCATTATTTTAATGTTTCGAAAAGGTTCACACCTCCTTGAGGATTTTTATTATTTTTTTTTTTTGAAATACGCGGCATCCCCATACATTATCCTTAATATAATACTATTATCTATATCGTGACGCGTGAAATTTCTAACCATTGCGAGCCACCGCCGGTCTTATAACGAGGATTTAACGAGGGTATATCGGACGACGAGGAACACCCGACGACGAGGAAGGAATAATAAAAAATATAGTTAAAAAAAAAAAAAACCATTAGGCAGACGTCGTCTTATTTATAAGAATATTACAGTATTCTCTCGTGCGACTTTGCTTTCACAGCGACAGAACG